ATCCACTGCTCTGTTTCCCATCTCCCACTGTGTCCTTGGCTCTCTCTTCTTGCATGTCTGCAGAAACCCACGGCTTTTTCTTCTTGGGAGGGTGAGGAGGCAGTCAGGTGTCTGTAAGCCACCTGCCCTGGGCCTGGGACCCACGCTGACCCCACTGTCTGCCCTGCAGTTCTCCAGCCTCCGGGAGGAAAAGAAGCAACAGGGGATAATGGGACTCATTGAGAAGGAAAACCTTATCCTCCAACAGGTGATGGCACGGGCACCGCTGAGGCCTGGGCTGGGCTATCGTCCTGTGGGTTGGGGTACCATGATGGACAAGATAAGGTTGGAGAATCTTCACAGTGGAGCTGGCCCTCTTAATCCACTGGGGTCCCCTGGCAATGGCTGGGCTGGGTGGCAGGAACCCGAGGCTCTTTGCCTCATCTTTTGGGAAGACGCGGTAAGGATTGCACAGGAGCAGCTCTGGCCGCACAGCTAACACAGCCCTTCCTGGTTCCTCCAGCAAGTGTCTGACTTGGAGACAGAGCTCCTCAAGCGTGATCAGGCCATCGTGGAGCTGCACAGCAAAGCCAGCGAGCTGCAGGCTCAGGTTGACCTGTATGAGGACCACCAGAGGCGGTGGAAAGAACTCCACAGTGATCTCCAGAGCCGGAATGAGACGATCCAGCAAGCAGAACAACAGACTCGCGTGGTCCTGGAGTCCTCTCAGGCCAGGGTAATACCCACCGTTGCCCCCACCGAGGATTCAGATTCATGTTCATGACCACCTATATCCTTACCCACTACCCGCCCACACGGACCATATGCCCAGCAGACAAGGGCTCTGGCTCATTCTGCCTCAGATTGCAATGTGCAGTGTAGAACTGATGTTTGTGAAGTAGTAGAGGAGGGAGTGAAGGCTCATGGAACATTATGGAAGCAGAAGACAGGAGCTAGTATTGTTCATCAAGAAAGTGGACCTTGGGTTACCTAGAAAAAGAGGCAGGAGGGAGGGTTATGATGTCTGTGTCTGCCCCTCCTTTCATCCCCGCCCCTGCCCCTCCCCAGTGTGTCTCCCTTCCTGCTTCAAGTCCTCTTTATCTTTTCTAAGCTGATTTTTTTATAACCCGTTGAGTTCACTTTGTGCTGCCCATATGTGAACAGCTGTGGGGTCACACACTGGGGGGCACAAACAACCAGTCAGTGGTCACAAAGACTCCTTCTCATACCAGACATTAACTGCCAATAGTTCCTCAGCTGGGGTGGGACCTTAGGAGCCCACTCTGTGCTCCACTCTGGAATAAACAAACAAACAAACGTGTATATGGTGTGTGGGTGCCAGCACACGTGAGCACAGGTGCCTGTGAGGCTAGAAGCTTCAGATTCCTGCAGAGTGGAGTAATAGGGGGTTGAAAACACCCCATGTGGGTGCTGAGAGCCTGTAACCTGTGGTGGTTTGAATGAGAAGGACTCCCAGAGGCTCAGGTTTCATTGTTTACGTACGTACGAGGTCCCCAGTTGGTAGACCTGCCTGGGAAGGAGTCCGGAGTGCAGCCTTGTTGGAGGATGGGCTTTGGGGTTTTGAAAGACTCTACCCTTCCTTGTGCCTGCTTCTACCTCCTACTTCTGGGTCTTGGGTGTGTGTGCCATAATGCCCTTGCTGCACAGTCACAGACTTCAACCCTCCAAACGTGCAGCTCAAATCAAACACTTTTATAAGTGGCCTTGGTTATGGTATCTTATTATAGCAATAGAAAAGTAACTAGACAGAATCAAATTAAGGCAAGGCTCTTAACCACGGAACCATACTCGAGTTTTTAACTGGCTTAGTATTGGCCTCCATGGCAGTTTTTGGTTGCGGAGGTTGAAGGGGTATATATCGTAGATAAGAGAGAGCTGTCTAAAAACCGATAGTCTACAGAGAAGGGATGCTGTGAATTGTTAAGAGGCTGAGGTGGGGCTGGCGTGATAGCCCAGCCATTAAGAGCTCTGGCTGCTGCTCTTTCAGAGTACATGAGCTGAATTCCCAGCACCCACATGGCAGCTCACAACCACATGCAACTCCGGTCCCACAGGGTCTGATGCCCTCTTCTAACCTCTGTGGGCATTGCATGCATTTGGTGCACAGATGTACAAGCAGGCAAAACTCCCATACACATAAAATTAAAGCAAAACAAACAAAAGAGAGGCTGAGGTCTTCAGTGGCAGCTGGAAACTAAAATTTAAAATAATTGTTTGTGCCATTCTTTTATTTTATTTATTTATTGTTTGTTTGTTTTTTGAGACAGGGTTTCTCTGTGTAGCTTTGGAGCCTGTTCTGAAACTCACCCTGTAGACCAAGCTGGCCTTGAACTCACAGAGATCCACCTGCCTCTGCCTCCCAAGTGCTGGGATTAAAGGTGTGTGCCACCACTGTCCAGCTCATTCTTTTATTTTTAAAACATGTATTTTTATGTATGTGCATGTGTAAGTCTGTGTGTATGCATTCAATCCCCTGGAGCTAGAGGTACAGGCAGCTGAGAGTCCTGGGTCCTGTTGGGTGCTGGGACTCAAACTCAGGTCCTCTGCAAGAGCAGCAAGTGCTCTTAACCGCAGCGCCATTTCTCCAGTCCTGTGCTAATATTTTAAAGTCATATGCAGAGCTGGGGATACATCTCAGCGGTAGAGAGCTTCCTAGCACGTGGGAGTCCCTCGTTTCAGTTCCCAGGACTCTTGGTGGAGACGTGCACTTTTCTAGTTTAAAAACATAAAAATAAGTGTGTTGCCATGCTAAAGTTTCTGTGCTTCAATGCGGGGCCACCCAGGAACTGGGGTCTGATCTAGAACATTCAAGCTCTTAGGCAAGTCCCATTTCCAGCCATGACACACAAGAGCAAGAAATAACTTCCGGCCTGCAGGGCTTATGGTGGCAGTGCCGGGCGTCATTCTTAGTAACAGTGGGAGATGGGTTCGCCTTTCTTCACAGCTGGAGCGACTAAGAAATAAGATCATCCAGGCCGTCTACAGCGTCAGTGGGACCAAGAACTTGTCCACGGAGCTCTCTGACAACTACATCCTGGAGTCCCTGCAGGTGAGAGGACTCAAGCTATGTCCCCACTGCTCATCACTGAGGCTGAGGGAGGAGGGGACCCAAGCTGTGTTCCCCCTGCCCATCGCTGAGGAGGTCTGGACTCAGTTTGTAAACCGGGTTCTCATCCCAGATGTATCACCATGCATTGTAACTCCAGGACTGTCCCTTTTCCCTGCTCAACCAGAGAGGGCCAGCCCATCCTTGGAGACTGCTCTAGCATGGAGCTGCTCTCAGCCTCATGGAGGATGGCACTCAGTTCTCCTGGTGCTCATCCCTGCACAGGGAGAGGGACAAGCTATCTGCATTTTGGAAGTTCTCTACCCAGCTCAGCTTCCTTGGTGGAGCTCCCTCCAGAGAAGCTTCTGGGCCAGAGTTCTGGCACAGACTCCTTTCTCTTGGCCTCAGCCTTGCCAACTCCTATGGACCCAGAGTCCCCCCAAAGCAGAAGCTTTAGAGGGTCCTGGGGGTGCAGGCTTTGGTGCCTGTGAACTGGAGTAGTCATCACCTGCCAGCCCTCGGTGCTAATCCTAGCTACTTTGTGTTTCCCCTTTATAAAGGGGATGAACCCACCTTCCCTGAAGGTATAGCCCTGGGGATGGCTGAGGTACGAGGCTGCTCTGGTTGGGGTCGTATGCCATCCAGGATCACATCTCCTTAGCAGACGCTCTGTTCCCAAGGTTCCGCTGCATTGCCCAGCGAACCCAACAGGTTCACATTTCCCTGCGGCTTTGGGGAAGGAGCCTGGGTCACTCCACTGTCACCTGTGGGGACAGGCCTGTGGTCATGTGTCTGCTGGTGGGGAGGAAGAGGGACAGAAGGACAGAGAAGATGCTCAAGGCCCTGCGTCTCTGCTAGGACTGAGAACAGGGCTAGGGCTAGAAAGGGACTGGTCAAGCCCTGCTGGACGAGACGAAACAGCTTCTGGTCTCTAGGAGTCTAAGGTTCCCTTCAGTGCCACACTGACTAAAGGGGTGGGCTCAGTGCGCGGGCTGACTCCTGGGACAAGTGCATATCCCCCCCCCCCCACCCCACCTCCTGAGACAGCATCTCTGAAGTCCCACCACTGGCAGGGATACTACACTCCAACTTGCCTGCTGCAGCAGCAAGTCCTGGGTGGGGGATGGGGGACCAAGGTGCAGGGCTGGAGGCCTCCCATGGACTGTTTCTTGTGCAGAGAATCATCACAGAGAGAAGCGAGTTCTACAGCCAGCTGAAACAAAAAGGCGTCAAGGTGCCCCCGCTGCAGCAGTCAGACATCTCCCTGCCCAGCAAGCTCAAGAAGCTGTCTCCCAAGTAGATCTGGCAGGGACCCCAGGACGTGGCCTGCCAGGCAGAGGCCAGGACCTGTGCGGCTTGCTCTGTGTTAAAGAATTAAACCTTAGAGTTGGCCACAGTCTCATCTTCTCTGCAACCTACAGGACCTCATCCTTTGCACCAGAACCTCAGCGGCCAGGTCCCATGTCACAGCCCCATCTGTAGGGGAGAGCCACACCTCCAGGACCCCTCTTCCAGGCTTCACTTTGCAGAGGGCCAAAGACCGCTCCCCTCCTTTAGATCCAACACTTCTGCCTGGGGCATGCTCTTGCTACTGGGGCCCCTTTGGAGGGTGGGAAAAGCGTGGGATGGGGTAGGTAGTGAAGGGGCTGAGGACAGCTCTTCCCAATCCAGGGCCTCCTGGCGTCTGTGGTCAGGATGTTTTCACATACGACTGTGCCCCGGTACCCTGATGAATATAAAGCGGCCTTTACACACATATTATGCCATACACTCTCCTGATCCTGCGGCCGCCCGTGCACTGGGCGGCATTAGTGCAGACAGAAGGCCCGGACACCGAGCCTTCTCTGAGCCTGACTCTGAGAGGCTGGGCAAGGACCTGGCGCCCTCTGCAGGTCTCTCCGGTGGCCGGCTCGGTTCCGCAACTCCAGCAGCCAGAGGGGTCTGCCCCTCCCGATCTGGATCAGACTTCCCAGTCCACTGCCCCCTTCTCAGCCGGGCCTCCCTCAACTCGGCCCCGCCCTTCAGACCCGCCCCCAGCCTCGGGCCCCGCCCCCGTCACCCCCAGGGCTGGAGACGCGTCCCGGGTTTGCGCAGCGGCCCTGGCGAGGGGCGCAGGTGAGACGCACTCAGCAGGGATTAGCAGCTTCCCATTGCAACCCACGGAGGTGGACCCGACAGCTCGCCCCCACCACTCCTATGTCCTCCCTCCGGGGCTAGAGCTTCCCTGGCCCTAGAATTCCGGAGTGGGAAGGGCTAGATAAGGCCTAACTACCAAGGGCTATCAGGCCCGGAACTGGCTGCCCAGCTTCTCTCGGGACCCAGGAACTCCCTTGGGGCCCGTTTCTTCCTTTCCTTTAGCTATCTGCTCCTCTTCCCACCTTTGTTTTCTGTATTTAAGGCTCGAGGCACCAACCCTACCTCACATCCTGGCTTACCCTGCTGGGGGAAGGTGGGATCCACTGACCAGACCCTGACAGCCTTCCTGGGCACCGAAGGCTTCAGCCCCCACCACGACTCGCCTTTGTAAGTTGGGGTCTCAGAGGTACTCTGTGGGCAAACGGGTCTAACAAGCAGCCGCATGGCATGTTGGACTCCTGTGTGCACACCTCTTCGGGGAGGCTCTGGGTTTGGAGGGGCCTCGTAGGCCCTTCCTACTGTGTCTATGACGATTGTACAGATCAGGGTGCACGAAACCCAGGAGACCCCGGCCCGCGGAGCCCATTGCTCTCTGGTGGCCTGTCCAGCCACGGATGGTTGGCAGATAACAGGATCCCACTACTTCCGGCTTGAACAAATTGGGGAGACCCCCACACCCCAAATTCCACATGTGGGCAGGTTTTGCTGTAGAGATGGTCCTGTTAGAGCCAGTGTTGCATTGATGTCTAGACTGCATGTGTGGTGTAGCAGCTCCGGCCACTGCAGAAGCAGGAAAGAGGTGGCCACTCTTAACTGTGAGAGAGCAAAAGCTTCCTCTCCCCGCATTCCGCTTCACCCCGCACTTTGCCCACAACCAGTGGCATGGCAAAAGAGGGGTTCGGGTATCAAACTCATCTTGGCGTGGCTGCCACTCGGAGCCAACACTCCTGTTGTCCACCTGGAGGAAGGGATTGAGCCTTGTGCAGGTAGCTGGTGTGCTCTGTCTTGAGGCAGGTAACAAACAGGATACTCCAGTCACGCTTGCCACCCCTGGCGGTCAGCCAGAGGCCCCACCTGAAGACACTTGTGGTTAAGATGGCGTCCCTTCTTCCACCCAGCCAGCCTGGCATCCTGGGTTTCTGTAGCCATCTTCTGCAGCCCGCTGGCCTGCTGTGCCTTTGGGTCACTGTGCACAGGGTTATCTAGGACGCATGCTGCCTTCCCATGGCCTCAGCGGCTGTGAGGCAGGGTCTTGGAGCTGGGTGTCGCGAGGGGACACTTGGATGCCCTGTACACAGGAGCCCTAACCTTCTCCTTATCTCAGCCTGTACTTGTAGTGTGTGCCCTGTTCCCCTCAGGTAAACAAGAGGCCACGGGAGAGGTCAGAGGGTAAATGAGAGGGTTAGTCAAGTATCCAGTGCAGGCAGGCCTGCAGGGAGGCAGGAGAAACCATGCATGGCAACATTGTCACTGTGACTCCTCCTCCTCCCCCCCAACCCACTGTCTGTGCCCCTGGGGTGGCTGGCCCTGAAGGAGTCAGGGATGGTTTGGTGGTAGGAACCTTCCTGCTCTAGGCACTCATGTGGCCCCTACTTCCTGCTAATCTATAATCTACAGGGGCCCCAGAAGCCCTGCTTGACGCCTCTCAGGGGCAGCAGGTGGAGGAGGGGAAGAGGACAGCTGCTGCCCAGCAGCTCCCTGGCTGGCTGGACTGGCGGTACCAGCCACCATCCACTGCTCATCCCTCTCCTTGCCAGCCTCTCTGGAGGGCAGCTCCAGGCCTTATCGGCTGGGCCGGGGAGGAAGACAGTTATCGGGTCCTTGGCAGCTACACTTTCCTGGTCTCTGAGGGCGGCACTGGCTGTCTCTCCTGATAAATGTCCTGCAAGGGAGGAGAGCCCCTGACCCCTCAGAAGAGGCCCCAACTGGCAAAGCAGAGGCTTACATTCCTGAGGGTCAGGGCTTAGCCAGGGACCGCCCTGCCCTCTGGGTTGGAATTCTTGCTTTGCTTAGTCCTTCTGACCCTGAGCTAGTTTCTAGTTACCTTGGTAAGTACCGCCCCCTCCTTCCGGGATGACCCTTCCGTGACAGCAGCAGGCCCGCCTTCTGGGAGTCTGGTCTGATACCTGTCTTGTCTCTACTCTGACTGCTGTAGCCTCCCCGTCCCCCACTCCCGCAGGCCTACAGCATGCAGCCCCAGGAGAGTGGTGTCCGCTACAGCAGGTGGGACGACAGCAACCGGGATGAAGTCAGCATGACTGCCATGTCCAGCACAGAGGAGCCCTCATGCTATAGGAGGTAAAATCCCAACAGGCCGTGACCCCCATTGCACTGACCAGCCTTGTCCAACCATTGGGCCGGCCCTCTGGATGGACAGGTAACTCCCAACTCCAGCAAGGCACTCAGGAGGCCCTGGTCTTCCTTCCCCATCCAAACCTATCCAGGTCTCCCTGGAGCCCTGGCTTGGGCTCACTGGTGGTTCTCACTCTAGGCTCTCCCAGAAGTTGTGCTCGGGCAAGCTGGGGATCGCTATGAAGGTGCTGGGTGGAGTGGCCCTCTTCTGGATCATCTTCATCTTGGGCTACGTCACTGGCTATTACGTGCACAAGTGCAAATAAATGCTGCCAGCTCCCACCCCTGGGACTTGTTCCCCTCCTCCCCGACTCGCCCTCCCCAGGCCTGCCCCCCCCCACTCCCACCCCTGGGACTCCCTCCCATGTACACAGACCCCAGGGCATATGAAGATGCCAGGGCGCACTGTGCAGCTCCAACAGCCCGGTGCAGGCAGCGCCAGCCGCTTACTTGCTGGGGATGAGGCTCAGTCTCAGTAGAGCTGGAGGGGACCTCCCCAGGCTGGTCGCTGCCTGTGGTGTCCACATCCCTTTGACCAATGCTAGGCGCCTCAGTCCAGGGCTTGGCCTGTAACTGAGGCAGGCAGGCCACCGAGTGTGCTCCTCCCTGTGGCCTTGGGCTGGGCTCCTGGCCCTCTAGGCCTTCAGGATTCCTGGTTGTGCAGGGAGGGCCCTGAATAATGATGTGTCCCCTACCTATTCTTTTTAGGGGACACAGATAGGGCCCCATATAGAAGACCTGTTTCTGTGCTTGGCACAGAAGCCTTTTCAAACACAACATTGTATGCTTTTTATTTGAGACAGGGTTTCTCTGTGTAGCCTTGGCTGTCCTGGAACTCACTTTGTAAACCAGGCTGGTCTTGAACTCAGATCCACTTGCCTCTCTCTTGAGTGCTGGGATTAAAGGCATGGGCCACCTGGTATACAACATTGTAAACTTTTGTTTGGTTTTTGATTTTTTGTTTTTCGAGACACGGTTTCTCTGTAGCTTTTGGAGCCTGTCCTGGAACTAGCTCTTGTAATTCAGGCTGGCCTCAAATTCACAGAGATCCACCTGTCTCTGCCTCCCTGAGTGCTGGGATTAAAGGCGTGTGCCACCACCCAGCACAAAATTGTATTCTTTAGCAAACTAGGGATGTCTTGAGGGATGGCTGGTGCTCTGCTCCCTGCCTCTCCACAGGCCTGTAGACAAATCACTGCTTACTGAAGGAACAGTGGGTGACTGACTCTGCCAGCAGTGCTGCCCAGCCAGGCATGACTTGCTGCAGGCCTGACCCTCCTCCACAGCTCTTCCTGTTTGGCTCCCTACTGGAATGTGCCCCTCCTGGCTGGGCCATCTCCCAAGAACACAGGAGTCCTAAGGGTCGGGATGTGGTTGGACCAGTCCCTCCTTACTGGACCATGGAGGACAAGGCCTTCAACACTTGAGGGTACTGCGGCCTCCTCTCCAGTGGTCTACACAGAACCTCTCTGGGCCACCTCTCATCCCCGCCGTGCTGTGAAAAGGTTCCAGACTTGCAGGACATTTGCTAGAAAATATTGAGGTGAAGTCTGCACCCTGGGCTGAGAGGGTAGAGGGTATGGGAGAAGGGGAGCCAGACAGTAGGTGGCAGGTGCCAGAAGACTAAACCCACTGCTCTCGGGTTGGAAAGACCCCCCCCCCCATTTGCCTGTACCACACTGACAAGTTGAGGGGCTTGGCCACACTGGCCGGGGAGGGCTGGTATGGCTGGCCTCATTCTCAGAACTCCTGGTTTGTATTGTCCTGAGCTTTGGTGGCCCCCATGAGGGAATCTGCAGTGGAATTGCTCCAACTGGCCTGGGTTCTAACAGACACCACCTGTCCCTACTCACAGGCCCCAACTGAGGTAAGACAGTGGAATGCCCTCCTGTCCCCACAATAGCAAAACAGGCACTGGGAGGCCCCAGGGAAGGGACCTCAAGGCCTAGTGTGGCCACCGTCAAGAGCAGGGCACCCTAGCCTGGTAGCCCTTGGAGTAGGAGCAGGTGTGTGCCTGGACAAGTCAGACATGGCTGAGCCAGGTATATGGGGTGCAGTGGCGGGACAGGAAGGATCAAGTGTGTTCCACCTAAGGGGCTCCAGGTGAGAGAAAGGAAGTGTCCAGCTTCTCTTGGTAGTCCTGCCCCTGGGATGACGGTAGTGGATGGGCATCTAGCCATATCCTGTACTCCAACTGAGACAGGTGCTCTCAGCCCTGGCAACTGACCAGTGCTTTCAGCCTAGCGCTCTCTGGCCAGTACTATACAGGGAGTGGGTAGTCTCAAGTAGTCACAGGCCATGGGCCCTGGCGGGGATCTGGCTGTTTTCCCACGTCAATGCCGGGAACAGACCCTGGCACTGTCCTGTTGATGAGAGCGGGCAGACGGCTGGATGCAGAGAACATGCTGCTTCCAAGGGGTTTTATTAGAACAAAGAGGCGTTCTGCTTGTGTCTGTAAAAAGTTCCAAAAATTTTAATCTCACACGTGGGCTGTTCTAGAAAAAACAGCAGGAACTGGCAGGGGTGGAGGGGTGTGCATGGGGCAGCTCCACCCTTCCACACTTTGGTGAATCCACATGGAATAGGTGAGCTCTTGCCATGGTCACTCAAAGGGACCCAAGAGCAACTGTGCAGTCACAAGCTTTGTCCAGGACACTGCGCCTCGAGGGACCCGCAGCCCCACTGGCTCTGACAACCACAGGCCCTTGCACAGCCTCAAAACTAAAACCACAAACCCAAACCGTTGTTGTTTTACAGAAGACAGGAACTGTCCTTTGAGGTCAAAGACCACCAAAGAAAGGCTGAAGGGCCGGGTCACTTCTGCAGCCAGATGGTAAGGCATAGGATAGGGCCACTAAGTCCCTTGTGCAGCTGGCTGGGTCCTCAGGATCAAGCGCTTTGGCTCCAAGGATGGCAGGTGTGCCCGGTACGTACGCCAACACACGCAGAGTGAGACAGGTGGTGGACAAGGACAGACTGACACGGAAACCTGTAGGGCTGTGTGTGTGGCACACCTTCCCGCCACTGGCCAACAGCTCACAAACCAGCATTCCCATCACGCACAGAAATCTGTCGACTACCCAGGACTACATGGGCATGACCTCTGGGGCTGAGGAGTGGATGGACCGTGCTGGGACGCAAGATCTACAGAGGTTACAATCACATGATGCTCTCCACGTCTCTATTAACATGCTGTCGAGAAGGAAGCGCTGTCCCACAGGATGTCTGCCGCCATTTACCCCGAATTCACACCTGCACATCAAACCCTGCTCAGCCTCTCCCCGTTACCCACACGATTCAGGACATTTCCAGCAGTTATGTGAACATCCACGAGAACAGCAGAATCTATTAGTGCTGTAATGATGACACAACTCACTTTACAACCGTCACCCAGACAAAACGCAGACACCTTTAAACACCCAGAGAAAAGGGACAAAGACCAACCAACCACACAGAGACATCTACAGCCAGTGCCCCCACAGGGGCCACAAGTGGATCCAGTTATGCAGCCTGGATGTCAGCGAACCACAGTCACATAGGGAGGAGTGGTGACCAGGTCGGCCTTGGACGGGTAGACCACCTTTAAGCTGCCCTCCAGGTCCACCACTCGGACCTGCTCCACCACCAGGGGGCACTGTCCATCCTTCCCAGCTCTCTGATTCAAGCTGGGATCAGAAACCCCAGAGCTGGCATCAGCTTCCGTCCCCGAGAGTGCGTCTTCCTCTTTATTTTCTGAAGTGCTTTTGTTCAGTTCTGCCATTTTCTGCAAAGAAAAATAACTTTTTAACAGAGAGGAGAAGTGATCTAGGAAGTCAGGCTGCCGTGACCCAGAGAGCAGCAAGCAGCAGCCATGGAGGGTGGGGACACAAAGCTGCCCTCATGGCCACTCACCAGAATGAGGCTGTCCATGATGTCCTTACAGAGCTGCAGGCTAGTGGCACTTGTGACTTCCAAAAACAAGTTGCATGTGTTTTTCTTAATCTGAAGAGTTAGAGTTCAGGAGAAAGTTATTGGTGCGGGGACACCAGCTGCTCATTGTATTCAGGAGAAAAACCTATGAGCAGAGTTATGCAGGGCTGGAGGTGCAGAGCGCCTGCCTTGTATGCATGAAGCTGGGTTAAGTCCCCAGCACTGTATAAACCAGGCAGGAATGGCGGTACACACCTATAATCCTATAGCGTTAGGGACGTGGAGACAGGAGGATTGGAAGTTCATGGTAACTCTTAAGACTATATATCAAGTTAAAGGCCAGCCTGGGCTACACAAAAACCTGTCTTAAACTAAGAACTTGTAGCAAGGGCCACAGACTGGGGACAGCACGATGGTGACTGTAGAGGTGGGCGGCACCAGGTGTGAGCAATGCCAAGGAGCAGAGGGCCCCAGTCCTCCACTTTGCATATCTCTCACGAGCGGGCATGAGCAGGTGGCGTAGCCTAAAGGACGAGCCACACACCACACACTGCCTACCTTTGTCTTCTCGCTGTTTGTTATAGGTGGAAAAGAAATCACATCTCCTTCGGCATCCACGAGACAGGGGTAGTTTTCCTTCCCGTCCAGTAAGTGAAGGTACCTGTGTGGGAGGGAATCCAGGTGACAGGCAGTGTGAGCCCTGCATCCTCATCTGCCCAGAGACCTGGGAGGTGAAGTGACAGAGGCCTTAGGTCTGACAACCCTGACCACCACTGAGAACCTGATGGCTGCCTGGAGCAGGACCCCCCCCCCCCCACCTAACCCCTCACAATGGAGTCTGGTCCTTTCAGGAGGTACCGACTCTCTCGTAGAAGAAAGTCTGGGGAGAGTCCCTCCCCATCTGCGTATGGTGTCTTCTGGCAGCTGGAGGGCGGGCTGAGATAGAGGGATTTGTGGCGGGCAGTGTGCCGACCAGTCTGCCAGCTGACTGACCTGTGTAGCCCGGAGACGCTTTGCCGCTTCTTCTGCTTTCTCTGCTCCTCAGCCTCCAGCTGCAGCTGCCTTACCAGCTCCTTGGCCTTGGCTTCTTTCCGCCCCAAGGGCACAATCTGTAGGAGCAGAAGCTCATAGCTCATTGTGTTACTGAGGCCACCCATAAGCATGAGGGATGCTGTACACTCTCTACCTTAATCTCTAGCCAGGGAGTGGGCTGCCAAGTCTCCAAGTCTGGAAGAAAGACTATATTTCCAGAGACCCCTCTGCAGAGGAGGTGCTCAGACACCTGTATTTATTTCTATAACAGGCAACTGCTCAGAAGGTCAACAGAGAGATAGGAATCAGTGACCTGAGCTGGCTGAGTCAGGCATGCAGTTGGCACCTAAGTCCCTACCCCTGGGTCTCTATGTAAATCCAAGCCTGGAAATCTCAGCCCAGAGAGCAACCTGGTGATTCAGCTCACACTACAGGTGTTAAGTGGGACCAAAATCTTTTGTTAAAGTTGGCAATCTACCTAGGCATGGTAGCACACGCCTTTAATCCTAGAACTTGGTGCAGAGGCAGGTAGATCTCTGTAAGTTCAAGGCCAGTCTGCTCCACACAACGTTTCAGGTCAGACAGGGCTACAGAGTGAGACCCCGTCTCAATAAAAGTGGGTAAGTACTGGAAGCCCTTTCCAAGGCCTGCCTTAGGACGGGCATCTGCACAGCTGTGCCCTGGGTCCCAGAGCAAAGGCACTTGCCCAGGAAGTACCAGATTAAGCTTCCCAGGCCCCACCCCCAGTGAGTATAGGGAAAGTGCGAGTGTAGACGGAAGGGGCAGAGCAGTTGGTACCTTCAGGTCATCGGGCGGCCGGGCTGCGTACAGCAGGGGCCCGCGCACTGCCTGGAGGTCGTGGGTCGCAATGGTTGCTGCTGTCCTCTTCTCACAGAGGTCGTCATGGAGCTTGGTCTGCAGATGAGAGCAGAGGAATGGGCTTCAGAGTCCCTGCTGTCCAGGGAGGCCTGAAGCTCACCACCACAAAGCAGCAC